ATGACAACAGAATAATGTGTTTAATTAATAGTGCGGGAAAATGAAAATATTTCTATCTTTTATTTTTATAATTTCTAGTTTCACTTTAATTTTAGTTTCTTTTGTTGCTTTTCTTATGTATGTCTATATAGTTTTTTTTTTATTTCAGTTTTAATTTTTTTAGCAAGTTAAACTAAACAAAAAAGATGTTTCCTTTGCATCTAGCTGAAATTAAATACATTTAAGGGGTGTGTGTGTATGTATATGTGTGTATGTATATGTATATATATGTATATGTATATGTATATGTATATGTATATATATATATGTATATGTATATGTATATATATATATATATATATATATGTGTATATATATATATATATATATATATATGTATGACTAGTGGTTGCAATGGGTACTGCAGTCCAAATTCTAAATATTGGAGACTCGTTTCTCTCCTCCTCAAGCCCTGTTCACACCGCCAGCGACAAAGAGACATGATCCCATTCATTTTCAATGAAGAGCTGGTGACTTCCAGCGTCACGAGCGCAGTGACTGTAGGAGACAATGACAAAAGTTAAGAATAGTTTAATTTTATGCAAATGAACAGCGAATTCAGCGAGCGACAACCAATAGGAGTGAAGACTCGCACGTCACCGTCTCCAGTTCCGGAGCGATTTCACGGTTTATATGATTTGACTGTAACCACATACATGCATATGAAATAGAAAAGAAACTGTTGGCAATCTTAGTGAGTTTGATTCCTACATTGATGGTCCGTGTTCATCGAGCTCTGCTGTAGTTTATATAACACTCTCCAACAGCAGAATGCTACTTTTAAGTCTAATTCCTAGTCAAAATAGAATGTTATCTTAGTTTTACTGGCGATACATATAGTTTGTGATTGCATTTTCTGAAGATGTGTCCAGACGTGCAGTCTAGAGTCAGCACCACGAGCGTCTTCACAGTACAGAGTCTAGCGGTGTGAACACGCTTTAGACTCCATGCTCACGCGGGTTGCCAGATTGAGGACATGCAAGAGGAACGAGCACAATTTACAATGGAAGGTGACGAGACTTAGACGGAGTTGACTTATCTGTATTTTAATAATCCTCTGGTCAGAGCTTCTCAGATGGATGCCGAAGGTTTTTAGGTTGTGTAGAATCTGCGATCTTTGATCCGGTTCCTTTGCTGCTTCCATGGCTGCATGTTTCCTGCAAACTGGCAACCCAGGCTGTCGAAATCCTATTGGGTAAACTGACAGTGGGCGGAGTCACACAGACCAAAACAAAAACAGAGGTTCTGACACGGAACACACAATTTAAAGAAGAATATCTGGCTGTGGCATTGTTTCCCAGAGAAACGAGTATCTGAACTTAACATGTTTCCTAAATATCTGCAAACATGTTATGGTTACGATAGATTTCGAGCGATTCTGGCGGGCGGTCTCATGCTGGTGTTTGTGGCAGGTCCAGCGGCGGGTGATGCCGTCTCACAGCATGTACGCCCTGAACATGGAGAGGATTCTGGCCCGGCTCTGGCACCCGAGTCACGAGGAGCTGGAGCAGGACCACATCCACCGCCAGCATCTGGCCAGTAAAGAGGGGCTGCTGGTCAGCTGACTGATGATGATGATGATGAAGAACGGACGCACCACATCACTGCATCAGTTCCATCCTCCTCCTCGACGCCCGTATTAAAACACCATGTGATTTTGTAAATAAGTGTATTGTTCTCAGTTCTAGTTTTTGTATGTAAGAATTAAAAAAATACTCCGCTGAACTGTTGTCGTTGTACATGTCAGTATTTTATATTGTTTCGTTTTTTTTGTTCTTTTTAATTACTGATGCAGCACATCTCATTGCCTTTAGAGGCAAAGTAAAAAGAAAGGAATGAATATCTGACTCATATCTTACACGTTATAATTTCTTACATGATCACATTCAGCTGTTTAAAAGTACAGCATTAACAGGCTTTCAGGGGTAACGGATCTTCATCTCTTGTTTTATACAGTACGGGTCAGCAGAAGCTCTGCATGCCATCATGTGGTCAGGTTCATATTGTTCAGCGCCCTCTGGGAAATATCCTAGATATCCTCTGGGAATATTGTGCAGTCCAGCGGCTTAACATCACGTGTTCCTTTCATAATCACTGTTTTCAGGAATCACTAATAAGCAGCATGAGTTCAGGTTCAACATTTAACAAAAGTCTGGCTTCAGTTCAAGTGCTGAGGTCAGCTGTGTGTTTTTCAGAGATTATGGAAATTACACTCATGCATATTTAGACATTGGAGATGTGCATTATGATGTAATATAGTGTTAGTGTCGTATGTCACTGTTTGCTTGGGCTTCATTGTTTCTCTACTGATCTGCATCATGAATTCACCTAAAATAAGCCACTTTTCTGTAAATAACCAATTACATGATCATTTTATGTTGGAAATATGTCAGAAAAAGACAAGAAAACCAAATGCTCTTTTAATACATTACAGTTATTTGTAATTTATTTTAGAAGTCTAGTGGTTATGGATATGTGGTTATTAGAGTAGAATAAGATTCAGAAGCACAGTGAAATGTGGTCTAGTAGTAGCATGTAAATGTGTGTGCATTCAGACCAGTGGCCATATATGCAAATCCATCTGTATGGCCCCCCAAACGTTGTTGGCTCCAACTCGGTTAACTTCTTGTTGATTTTTCTGAAGTGATTAACGTTAGGTGTATTCACAAGCTGTTTTATTTACGGTATAAATGCTTGGAAATAATATTTAACGTCTATTCTGTGTGTTTTTCAGAGATTATGGAAATTACACTCATGCATATTTAGACATTGGAGATGTGCATTATGATGTAATATAGTGTTAGTGTCGTATGTCACTGTTTGCTTGGGCTTCATTGTTTCTCTACTGATCTGCATCATGAATTCACCTAAAATAAGCCACTTTTCTGTAAATAACCAATTACATGATCATTTTATGTTGAAAATGTCAGAAAAAGACAAGAAAACCAAATGCTCTTTTAATACATTACAGTTATTTGTAATTTATTTTAGAAGTCTAGTGGTTATGGATATGTGGTTATTAGAGTAGAATAAGATTCAGAAGCACAGTGAAATGTGGTCTAGTAGTAGCATGTAAATGTGTGTGCATTCAGACCAGTGGCCATATATGCAAATCCATCTGTATGGCCCCCCAAACGTTGTTGGCTCCAACTCGGTTAACTTCTTGTTGATTTTTCTGAAGTGATTAACGTTAGGTGTATTCACAAGCTGTTTTATTTACGGTATAAATGCTTGGAAATAATATTTAACGTTTTCAAGTCCATTCATCATCTGTAGCACGCAAGCCACCCAATAATAGCGATGAGCTTTGTGCTTTGTTACTTCTATTAAAACACAAAGTGTCAGCCTTCTGTCAACTTTATAATAAAATACTGCAAACAATAAATGTTTTTACGCTTCTAAATTTGTAGTGAGATAACTATATTCGTCTCAGTGCAAGCAGCGTGTGAATCAATGATATTTTCCTCTTTAATATTTGAATGCATGTTGAAAAAATCAGAACAATTTAATACAAACCAATGTTTCATGAAATCGATCAATTAGAGTTTCAAAAAACTAAAATACGTCTACTTTTTATTTCTGTTTTTTAAGTTAAAAGTGAAGAATGACAGGTTGGATGCCACAGACTTTTTATTTTATTTATTTGTTTATTTTTTGCGGAGTATAGGAGAAATTCTCACATTAACTTCACGCAATAGGCCTATAACCTGATTTTATTATCGTAATTTTGACTTTATTCTTAAAATATTATGACGTTAATCTTATTTTTCAACATGGTACTAAAATGCTGCCATTATTTGTACTGCATGCAAACACAATCTTGGCACAGAAGCCCAAAAACAAAAGAAAAACAATAAATAAATACTAAGGAGATATTTGAATTATTTATTAATAAACTAGTATTTTCTGAGTCCGTCACAAGATGAAGTTGAGCTCCTGACTCTCCATCTCTTCAGGACCCGCGCATTTAGAGAGTAAATTAGCCTACACAATGAATGAGTTTTGTTTTCTATTTGAATGATTTCGTTTCTAAGTATTTAACGCATTCTATCAGATTTATGTATGACGTGTGTGTTCATCATTGTGAAGCTCTGCGCAGACACAGAAAGCCATACTGTTTGTTTTCCTTCATTATTTTACAAAAGCACAGGTTCTTGTTGATATTGTTTGTGAGTGCACAGAAATAAAAGTAGACCCTTTTCAATTCCGAATGACGTATTACTCTTACCTTTATGAGCAAATATGACCGAGTTAAGTTTCCACTCTTAAGAAAAAGTGTCCTGCAGAGCTTCAGCTCCACTCTCAGCACAAACTACTGAATATGCGGCTACAGCACACATTTATCTTGCTTACATTGTTAAATCAATATTGTGGATTGCATGAAGTGTTTGTCTATAGATTTTATTTTAGGCAAGTCGTGTTGATTTGAGAAGGCTAAATTGATCAAACATGCTGAACTCAGTCCGCCGCTGGCCGCTTGGTCGTTACTTAAAAAACAACAACTTGAATTTAACAAACATATTTCTAAATGAACTTAATAAAGAAACGAAAATAAATATAACCACTTTGCCATTAAAAACCAAAACTGGACTAGCCTATTTTCTGCAACAGCAGCTGTGTAAAGAGAGAGAGAGAGTGTGTGTGTGTGTGTGTGTGTCAGAGAGAGAGAGAGAGGACACGGGCTCGGGTCAGACTCAGGCTGAGCATATTCTGATACGCTGTGGGAAGGGCTGGGGGCCCGTGCAGGGCTCTATTCATCGGCGGGCCCATATGCACCTG